GTGGAATTTGTGGTCGCGGGAGGAGGAGCGGCGGGGGCTCGGTATTCTCAACACATTGCTGGTGGATCGGCCTTTCTTGCTGCCGATGAGCCTCTTCTGTTCCTGGCGGAGGCGCTTCAACCTCCGCAGACGCATGTGCCGGAGGCGACGCTCGGCCAGCTCCATCGCCTTGCGGAGAGTCTTCACGCGTTGCTGCTGATACAGGTGCTTGCTCACTCGTCCCTCCCCGTGATTCCTCCGGAGACGTTCCGTGACCGCCCGCGTGAGACTTGCTTAGACGCGGCGGACCAGCTCGCAGTGCTGCTGGCGCCCGTGCTGGCTGCGCCCGCAGAGGGTGGCGCTGCGCCTGTGGGACAGCTTGACGAGGCTGTCCGGGGCTTGAGGCGACACTTGCGCGCAGGTTCTGGAGCCGCCGCGATCGGCGCAAGTACGCTTGTGGTCCGGGAGCTGTGGCGGACGCTGACGGGCGTTCTTCACGCCCTTGGAGCTCACCGCATGTAGGAGCGGGCTCCGCTTGCCCCATGAGTGCTGCGCGCGGCTAGGCCGCGGTAGGTTTTGCCATGCGTGTAATTCCCTTGAATATAGACAATTTTGTGTGTTGTTTCTTGCCGTTCCCTCACGCGCGGCCGAAGGCCGCGCCGTCGAGCGTCGGCCGCCGAAGGCGGCCGGCGCGAGCCGTTCGGTTAGGAGAAGCAAATGAGAAAGAACTGAACAATGAGGAGAGTGAGCCCCAAAACAGGGCTATATACTAGGCTGGAGAGGGCTGGAGAGGCTAAGGACTAGCTCCTAGGGCCTCTCTCTCTCTCTCTCTCTCTCTCTCTCTCTCTCTCTCTCTCTCTCTCTCTCTCTCTCTCTCTCTCTCTCTCTCTCTCCTCTCTCCCGCTCGGTTAGGAGAAGCAAATGAGAAAGAACTGAACAATGAGGAGAGTGAGCCCCAAAACAGGGCTATATACTAGGCTGGAGAGGGCTGGAGAGGCTAAGGACTAGCTCCTAGGGCCTCTCTCTCTCTCTCTCTCTCTCTCTCTCTCTCTCTCTCTCTCTCTCTCTCTCTCTCTCTCTCTCTCTTTCTCACTCTCAAGCCGTCCTTCATTGATAATCAGCAGGGTACAGGCATGGCCCAAGTGAGCCAGCAAGCCTAAACATGCAATCTAGGCAAACAACAACCAGCACACAAGCAAGGGACAGCCACAACAGCCACATCCTAAGCCTGCCTGCTGATGGCCAGGACTGCCATGCAGCCTACCTAGTGCCTAGCCCCAAGGACCGCCGCCTGGGGTCCTCCTCACTCCTCCAGCTCCTCTACTCCAGCCCCCTCACCCGTCCAGGTCCGGCCCCCAGTCCAGCTCGTCCTCAAGGACCTGCCAGAGGTCCCCAAGGTGTGGCTCCCACGGGTCGACTGGGGCCTGGGGGTATGCACGCTCAGTTGCCCTGTTGGACTTTGCCAGCAGGGTATTGGCCTGGCTGCGCTGGAGCATCACCGACCAGCACTGTCGGTAGTGTGCTGTGAGCTTGGAGGCGACCGTGGTCAGCCTCCCCTGCCTGTGCTTCTTCTTGGCTGCCTGGGTGCCTAGGAGGCGTAGGAACCGCTGGGTGTCTTGTGCCAAAGCCCCATAGGTTTCTACCGCCAGCCCGAACACCCTCACGAACTCTGGGCACCCCTCGTACAGCCCTCTCTTCGTCCTTGCCGCATCCTCTGCTGCCCAGCCAGGACGCTTCACAGCCCGGGTGTCTCTACGCTGCAGCACGTGGTCGGTTATGGTGACGTCAGTCACGAAGGTCTCGGCCGATTCCCTGTCCACGAGGACCAGGTCCGCTCGCTTAGGGTTGACAATTTGCGAGTAGGCGCAAGTCTCGTGGATGGTCATGTAGTCGGCCTCCCTGGCCATCCGAAGGGCAGCGTACACCAGGCAGTTGTGCGTGTTGGTCCTGTCCGTCCCCTCCGCGCACCGCAGCAGATGGTTGGGTAGGCTACGGTCATCTATCTTCGACCGTGGCTTGCCGCAGGGACACTGCTCTGTCACCGCCAGTGTCAGCCCCAGCCGGAAGCCAAGGGCTATGGCAAACTGGCCAGGGGAGAAGGTCAGATCCGCGCGCGTGGGGATTGCGTGCAGCCAGTCTCCAGCCCCCGTCCCCTGCAGGGCAATCAGCCGGACCACGTGGCCGTTGTCCACCCCCGGCTTGTCAATCCGCGTGTCACCCACCAGCTCCGCCGCCCTGTCCAGGTTCACTTGCTTGGACAGCCGTTCCTGCAGGTGGCCCTTCTTCTCCCTCCCCCGTCCGGCCTCCCGCAGGATTTCACGCGCTGGTTCGGGGAGCCTGTTCCGCAGATCTTGCAAGGTCGTCCTCCCCCCACTCGCCCCCCCCTCCTCGTGTGGCGACAGCAGCGCCGCCACTCGTTGGAGAGGGTGGACCTGTGTGTCGGCTCCTTGCAGCAGCAAGTCCTGCGCCGCGCTCAGCGATGCCAGAAACGCTGCAGGGGCCTCCGAGAGGGGGTCCACCAAGCCAAGCCCGCCCAGGGCGATCGGCAGCGACGAGGCTCTGAGTTGCCTCCACACGAGGCTCTGCTCTATCTCCTTCGCCGGCGTGTGTAAGTGTGCCGCCTTGAGCGCCGTCCACAGGAGCCTCTCGCTCCATTCCCTCCATTCCCTTAGTGGGAGCACATCCGCAGGCGTGGTTCGTAGCAGGTACGAGACCCTACGGGAGATGCACCGTGTCAGCAACAGCAGTGCGTGTTGGGGGTGGAGCTTGCCGATGAGCTCAAGCGGTGCTGCTGTAGTCTCCAGCGTCGCCCTCACCACCTGCCTGCTATACGCCAACGTGCCAATTGGGCTCCCCAACACCTTGATACCATCCACCGCCGCCACCAGTCCTTCCGGTAGGTTTCCCGTGACCCCCGAGGGGCTCCATGCCGTGGACTTGGCTAGGTTGCACCAAAGGCCGAGTCCCAGTAGTTTGTCACACAGCATCGCCGACTCGCCGATCACTGTGATGTCGTCCGCATACGCCATCATGGTGACGGTGGGAACTGCGGCCGCCGTCGTGAGAAGGGCCGGCTGTATCGCCGCAGCAAAGAGCATGGGGCCGAGCGGATCCCCCTGGCGCACGCCGCGTGCGCTGTCGATTGAAGGCGCTGTAAAGCCACTGTCGAGTAGGAGCCTTGAGGGTTTGCCGTATAGGGTGCGTACAAACGGTAAGAGCGGGGTGAGGTCTGTCCATTGCATTGACTCTAGGAAGCACCCCCGTTCTACTGAGTTGAATGCATTCTCTATGTCCAGCTGGATCGCAATTCTTGACGGATCTTCGGCGAGGAGCGTGCGGGTCGTGTGAATGATGCACTCGGCCCCACCGGGGACGGCGACGCCGAATTGAACCGGGAGAAAATACCCGCGGATCTCCGCCGCGAGTTCGCGAAGTGCTGCCTTGGCCGTGATTCTAAGAATCGCCTCGCCAATCGCTATGGGTCTCACGCCTCCGTCCGGCTTCTCGAGCGCTATCAACCTGGCTGGGAGCAGGAGGTCTTGCAGCTGCACGTTCTGGTACGCGCTAAGAAGCCCGTTTACTACTTTGTGGAGCTGCACAAAAACCTCCCCGTTTGTTAGAGCTGGGTCACAGAGGTGTTCAAAGCACGTGCCTGATGAGCCCGCTCCTATTCCGTTCGGGCACTTCGCCAGTACTTCGCGAAAAGAATCCGCCCCAATGGCGAGCTCGGACGTGTTGTAACCTCCGGTAACCTCGGGTATCGCCGATTCCGCCCGGGGGTGTTTCGTGCGAAGTGTCTCCAAGGTTACCTGCGACGTTTCCGCCAGCGGCGAAGTTCGCAGCGCTGCCACCGCTTTCGCCAGGTTTGCTTTCCGAACCAACCCCTCCGCTCTGGCACAAACACCCTCCGGGTCCGGCTCGTGACGGCTGGGTTTGGAGTTTGCCGGGAAGGTGCTAGCCTTTTTGTACAGTGAGTCCCAATCCTCCTCGCGAAATTGCCGGAGACGTTTCTCCACCCCTGCCCACCGATTCTCGGGGGTTTTCTCGAGGTTCGCCCGAAGTGTCAGCCTCGGGAGGTATTGCAAGATTCGCCACGCCGCCAGGCAACTCGGAAATTTCGCTAGTCGGAGGAGTGGGAGGGTGAGGCAAATGCTGTAAGTTTTCAGGATTTCGGGTGGAAGCTTCCGGACCAAGAAGGGTTGCGCGCTGGACTGCAGTGGCCCCAGATCCCATGCGTGTACCCTCAGCCACGTGCCCTCGTCGTCCACGATGGCAGAGGGACTTCGCTCCTTGCTGGCCGCCACGTTGGCGCCCGCGATGGGCTGCTGCGGTGCGGATTCCCCCACGTCGGCGCCCTCATCCCTCCTTCCACGCCTAGACCCTTGTCCCCTGTCTGTGGCTGGGATGGGTACCCCCTGTTCGGCTTCCAGCGAGGCATCCTCAGATTCGGCCTCTTGCGAGGCCATATAATCTGACCCCACTTCCCCTTCTTCATCAATTCATTGGGCCTTCGCCCTGCTCCTCAGGCCTCGCGTGTCTTTCCCGCCAGTTTCCAGATCTCGCTTTTTCTCTTGCCACCGCTCCCGCCAGTTCTCGGCCGCCTCTCCCTCTCCCCCTGCCTCTACCCGCCGCCCTCGGCGCCGCGTTTGACGGCTGTAGGCCTGCCACGCGATCGTCGGCCTGGTCTTGCAGTGCTCGCTGACGGCTCGTTCCAGTCCTCCGCCTGCGTTCTGCCTCCGCCCGGCGTAGCACTTCCTCCTCCTGGTCCGCTCCCTCCGCCAGGTCGGCATCCTCCTCACGTGTTTCCTCCGCCGCGTTCACCGGCCGGCCGGATGACAGGCAAGCGGCGACCTCCTCCTCAGCCGGACCGCCCGGCAAGTCCTCTTGCCTCTCCCATCCCGCAAGGGGTCCAGGGCGGGCAAGTCCCAGCCCTGCTCCGAGCCGCCGCGGATGTAGTTGCGGCCGGGGTTGGCGGCGCTGTCGCCCAGCCTCCTCCTCCCTCACCGGCTCCTCGCCAGCCGATGTTCCGGTTTTCTCGGGGACGGGCCCCTCCCCAACTACGGCCTCGCGGGCAATCCTTCCGCCGCCGCCGCCCTCCTCGTCCCCAGCGCCAGTATGGGCCGCCGGCGGTCCGACCACTGGGTCAGTCCCCTCCAAACCAGGCTGCGCAGTCCCAGCCACTGCAGCTCCCGCCCCCCAATGTCCCAGTCTGTGACGTCGCTGCAGCAGACTTCGTCAGCGTCTGGGACGGCCCTTCAGCCGTTGGCGCAGTCAACTGCCTCCGCGCCTGTGCCCTTGCTGCCGCAGCCGTCAACGCCGGCCTCGGCGGAGACCCCAGCGCCGCCGCTGCCGCCGCCGATCGAGTCCGCGCCGCCCCAGACGGCGCCTCCTGTACCAGTTGCGCTTCCCGTCGCTCCTCCTCAGGCGCTTGTTGAAGACCCTGCTCCGCCGGCGCCACCCCCGTGGCGGCAACCTCGGCGTCAGCATCCCCTCGTGCCAACCGTCCCGCAGACCGCCTTCCGGTTCCCCCCTCCCCGTCGCCCTTACCCGCGTGGATGGGATTCGCCTGAGCGTCCACCAACCACTCCTGATCCCGACCCTGACTGGGAGCCTCACCCCCCTTGGGGCGTGCAGCCGGACCTGGACGTGTGGGGCCGGCAGTGGGGAGAGGAGCCGAGCTACTTCGACCTTTGCCGGTGGGAGCAGCGGATGCGCGGTGTAGGGCGTTGTTTGTCGAACGTGGCGACGGTGTTGGAGCAGCTGAACCACGCGATTGGGCGGCAGAACCTTGCCTCACGGAACCCGCAGCTGAGCGAGTTCGAGCAGGGGGTGGTGAGGGAGGCCGCTGCTCAGGCGATGTCGACGATGCTGTGCCTGCCCCTTGAGCCTGAAGACCCGTCGCTGAATGAAGGGCCTGGAGTGACTGCTTTCCGCAGGGTAGCCATGGCCGCCGAGGAGGCGCCCCTTGAGATAGTACCCGCCCTCGCGGTTGCGCTCCGTTGGATGGATCGGCGGATGTTCCTGATTGCTCCCGACCCGTAGGCGTTGTTGTACCCGCTGCCGCCTTTGTTTGTTGTTTCTTCCTCCCCATTGCTGGGGACTTACCTTGCCTGTAGGTGTGTTGTCTCTCTCTCTCTCTCTCTCTCTCTCTCTCTCTCTCTCTCTCTCTCTCTCTCTCTCTCTCTCTCTCTCTCTCTCTCTCTCTCTCTCAAGCAGTCATGTATTGATAGAGTTCATAGGGTACAGGCATGGCATAGTGTTGGTGACTAACTGGCCGAAGCAAGGCATGCAAGCATATAGGCACGGTAGCTAAGCTAGCAAGCAGGCTGAGCATGAGCACAAAGAGCCCCCAATCCATCCAAATCCAACAGAAGGCCCAAAACCCTGTCAACACAGACGGTCCCTTGCCCTGAAGCTGCCGCACCCTGTGTTCTCCCCCCTCTCCCTTGCCGCCCCTGCTACTCCCTCTCGTGCCCCACCCTCCAGCTCCTCCTCACCACTCACCATCCTCCCGCTTCCCCGCCGTCCCCTTGCTCACCCACGGTCATCTAAGGCGCCCTAGCAGGAGCTTCCCGCTCCTCATACTCGTCAGGGATCATCTGCCAGAGGTCCGCCAGGCGTGGGGCCCATGGGTCTGCAGCTGCCTGTGGGAAAGCCGCCTCTGCCGCATGGTTGGACTTGGACAGGAGGGAGATTGCTTGGCTACGCTTGTAGCATCACCGACCATCTCTGGCGGTAATGCGCTGTTAGCCGAGCAGCCGTGGTGGTGAGTCTGCCCTGCCTAAACCTCTTCTTGGCGGCATGGGTTGCCAACATCCGAAGGAATTGTACGGTGTCAGCAGCCATTGCCCCATAGGTCTCAACCGCCAGCCGAAGAAGCCAGCATAGCTCGGTCGCCCCTCGTACAGCCGATGCTTCTTCTGCGAGGCCTCCTCTGCCGCCCAGCCTGGCGGCCTACGTGCCCTCACGTCCCTCTCCTGCAGAACCGGGTCCGTCACAGTGACATCCGTCACCCAGGTCTCTCCCGACTCCTGATCCTGGATTGCCAAGTCCGCTCTCTTCGTAAGGACCGGTGGAGAGAAGGCCGAGGTCTCATGGTAGGTCTTGTAGCCTGCCTCATTCGCCATTCGTAGCGCAGCGTACACGAGGGCATTGTGTGTTCGGACCGCATCCCCCCATCCTGGCATCGTAGCAGATGGTTCGGTAGGCTCTTATCCTGGATTTTGGATCCCGGCCGCTTGCATGGGCACACCTCAGCTACCGGCAGTTCCATGCCTAGGCGGAGGCCTAAAGCCAAGGAGAACTGACCAGGGGAGATGGTAAGGTCAGCTCTCGTGGGCACAGCCTGAAGCCAGTCGCCCGCCCCCACCCCTTTCAAACTAATCAGCCTGATCCCATGCCCCCTGTGCCTGCCCGGCCTGTCCACGACTGTGTCACCCAGAAGGTCCGCCGCCCGCTGCAAGTTAATCTGCTTCGATAGGCCCAGCTGCAAGCTGCCTGTGCCCGTACTGTCCGCTCTGAACTGGCCAAGGACCGCCTGTGCTTGGGCTGGGAGGCCCTCCTCAAGGGCAGACAGCGGGTTGAAGTCAGGGGGGGGGGGGGGGACCAACCATGGGCAAGCAGCGTAATAGCCCTGTGGAGCAGGCACTCCGGGGGAAGGCCCAGCTTCTGCAGTAGGGAGTGTGCCGCCGTCACTGAAGCAATGTGGGCCGCTGGCGCTTCCGAGATAGGGTCTATGATCCCCAGACCACCGAGCCGAACGGGCAGAGTCGCCTGGCGCCACAAGAGACTTTGGTCCACTTCCGCCGTCGGTATGTTCAGCTTCGCCGCTGCGAGGGCCGAGCCCACTAAAGCCTCGCTCCATCCCCTCCACTCCTCCAGGCCCAGGGCTGTTGCCGGTGTCGTCCGCAGTAAGTAAGAGATGCGGCGGGAGATGCTGCGCGAGAGAATCAGCAGGGCCGTCTGAGGGTGGAGCTGGGAGATGAGGCGGAGCGGTGATGCCGCCTCTTCCAGCGTCGCCCTTACTTGGCTGGTGCAGAACTCCCGACCGCCGATAGGGCTACCCAGGACCCTTATGCCTCCTGGGTCCGCGGAGAGGCCTAGAGGCAGCTCCTCCTGGTCTCCTTGCTGTATGGCGCACCACGCCGAGGACTTGGAAACGTTGCAGCGCAGCCCACAGTCGGCTAGGTCACCCGCTATCTTCGTGAAAGCTCGGCAAGCTGCTTCCCTAGGCCCGACGATGGTGATGTCGTCGGCGTAGGCAACCACCGCCACTTCCGGCATCGTCGCCGATATACTTAGGAGGGCTGGCTGGATTGCAACTGCAAACAGGAGGGGACCTAAGGGATCTCCCTGCCTGACGCAGCGCGAGCTCAAAATGTGGTCGGTGCCGAGGCGAGCATCAGTAAGCAGCCGTGATGGGCCGTCGTAGAGATTCCGGACGAGAGGGATGAGAGGACTCAGGTTCGACCATTGTAACGACTCAAGGAAGGCCCGTCGCTCAACGCTATTAAATGCGTTTTCGATGTCCAGCTGGATGACGACGTGGCTCTCATCCTCTCGAAGTAGGGAACGGACGGTGTGGATAATACACTCCGCTCCTCCTGGCACCGCTACTCCAAACTGCACAGGTAGTAAGAACTCCCTAATCTTCGGTGCTAGAGAATGAAGCGCCGCTTTAGCAACTATACGAAGAAGTGCCTCGCCTATCGCGATCGGCCGAACCCCGCCATTAGGTTTCTCCAGGGCGATCAATCGGCACGGCAGCAGCAAGTCACGTACGTGCTGCTGCTCAGTAGCCGATTGATTACACTGGCGAAAAGAAGCAACACCTCCTCGTTGGCGAGAGCTGGGTCTCTCAGGTGCTCGAAGCAAGTTCCAGAAGGCCCCGCCCCCACCCCATTCGGACACTTCGCCAAGATTTCGCGAAGTGTATCCAGCGGGACGGACAGATTGGAGTTACCAATTCCGGTTACCCAGCTCGGGATGCCTTCCTCCGCTGCAGGGTGCTTCGCTTGGAGTGCCTCTCGTGTAGCTGGGGATGGTTCTGCCAGTGGGCTTGTTCGCAACGCCGCCACAGCTTTCGAAATGTTCCCTTTCTTCATAAGTCCCTCCGCCCGCGCACAAACACCTTCGTCATCCGCTTGATGTCGCATCGGACCCCCCGTATCGGGGATGACCCCAGCTGCCTCGAAAAGGTCCTCCCACTCGCCACGTTGAAATTTGTGCAGACCTGCCTCGATGTGAGTCCAGCGGCTCCCAGACACAGGTTCGGTGGCGGGCCTCAGGGTGAGCCTCGGCAGGAATTGTAGAACGAACCAGCCACCTGGGCAGCTTGGGTTCTTGCCCAAGCGATGAAGTGCGACCAGCATGCACAGACAGTATCTGTCCAGGATCTGTGGGGGCAGGCGGCGGACGAGAAACGGCTGGTCCCCCCGAGACAGGATATCCACGTTCCAGGCCCCCGCAGCCCGCCAGATGTCCTCCTTGCCTGCCAGGTCGGCAGGCGATGGCACATCGGTGTCCTCCGTGGCTGGTTCTCCTTCCCCCCCCAGACTTTGTGGGGCATCTCCACCCGCCGCCCTCTCCTGGCGTTGTGTGGCTCTCCTTGCCGGTTCCTCCTCATCGTCTAAGGAGATTTCTTCAGACTCCTCCTCCTCACCACCCATAAACTCTGGGTCATTCCTGGAGTTGTCAGAACCTTCGCGCTCCTCATTCGCTCCCGCTTCCTGCATCTCCGGCCTGTCGTGGCGTTCCCGCCAAGGGCCTGTTCTAACAGGAATATCAGATCTGGGGATCCGGTTGCGCCCCCCCCGTCCCCCTCTCAGGCCTCCGCGGAAACCCCCGCGAGCTCCCCTCCCCGCTCCGCCTGCCGTTCCTGTTGCTGCGCCGTTGAGTCCCCCCCGTCCTGCCGGCATCCACGGCGTTCGTCCGCCACGTGGCGGGCCCCAGGTGATCGCTCCTAGCCTCGCCGAGCGCCTGGTTCCCATCTGCGGGGGCACGATCTCACCAGCTGCCGCCGCCACCTCTGTCGCTGCTGGCGGGGCGCGGTTGCCGGAGCCCGGCTCCATGGGTGGCGTCATCCCTGGTTCCTGCACGGCCCCTCGGTCGGCGGGTATTTGTTCGCCGGCGGGGAAGGACTTCGTCGGAGGCGATCTGCTGGGACGGCCCGCCCTGCGATGACGACGGACGCGTTAGCTCTTGTGGCGACCGCCCTGGCAGCAGCCAGCCCAGGAGGGGTCCCGGGGAACCAGGTCCCAGCCCTGCTCCGGGCCGCCTCGCTGCTGGCTGGGCACGAGGCCACTTCCCCTTCTTCCCGCGGGCGGGGGGAGCAGCGGCGGGAGAAGCGACGCTCTTCCCGCGGCGCTGTCTTTCATCCGCCGCCTGGCCGCGCCCCCGCGTGCCTGCGCCCTCGTCAGCAGCAGCCGTTCCGGCGGACGCAACGGCCGTCGTCGCATCCACTTCGTCCGTTTCACCCCTCCCGTCCCCGAGCCGCAGCAGTCACAACCGCCGCGATCTCAGCTGCAGCCACCGGGGCGGGGGATGCCGCCAGCCCCACCTCCACGGGCAGCCCCTGTTCCGACACCGGCACCCGCTCCTCTGCAAGCCGCGATGCAGTCTGGGGGGTGACAGACGGTGAAGTTAAGCCGCCGCCAGCGGCAGCGGCAGTCCCGTCAGACTGGCCCGAGTCTGCCCCCTGCCCCACCTGCGCCACCGTCGTCTTGGCCGCCGCAGCGCCATCAGGCGCCTCCTCCTCGCCAGCCGCTGCCCCTGGCGTCGCGACCGCGACCACCGCCGCCTCCGGCCTCTCACCTGTGCCTGGAGCGTCAAGGGCTTGAGATCCAGGGTCTGCTGCCCACGGAGCTGGAGGCGGCAGAGGCTGCAGCGGCGGAGTTGCAGCAGTTCCTCCCCCTGATTGGGTACTGGCCTGGCTCCCCTGGTGCTGCCCTCGGGCCCGGGCCCCTGGCTTTGCTGGAGCTTGCCGAGACTGCCCGGGTGGCACCACTCGGCCTCGTGTCAGCAGCAGCATCTGTCCTGCGCTGGATGGACGGGCGACTATGCTGGATCCTCTCCGAGTAGCCGCTGTCTTTCCCTTGCCGGCCACCTTGGTTTTGGGCTGGCCCTTGGGCTTCCCCATGGCGTTGAAGTTCACCCTGAGGGTGTTGTTGCTGTTGTTGTTGCTACTGCACCATGTTGTATGTCTTCCTGCTATAGTGTTGTCTCTCCTCGTTTCCTTGTCACCCTTACGCGCGGCCGAAGGCCGCGCTAGCGAGCGGCGGCCGCCGAAGGCGGCCGGCGCGAGCCGCTGGATTCTGAGAGTGAAAGGAACTCAACAGAACACAATGACTGGAAGCAAGAGCTCCTAGGCCTTATATACTAGGGAAGAGAGGCTAAGAGAGGCTCAAGAGAGGCTAAGGACTGGTTCCTAGTGCCTCTCTCTCTCTCTCTCTCTCTCGATCTCTCTCCATAGCCGCTGGATTCTGAGAGTGAAAGGAACTCAACAGAATACAATGACTGGAAACAAGAGCTCCTAGGCCTTATATACTAGGGAAGAGAGGCTAAGAGAGGCTCAAGAGAGGCTAAGGACTGGTTCCTAGTGCATCTCTCTCTCTCTCTTCGATCTCTCTCCATAGCCGCTGGATTCTGAGAGTGAAAGGAACTCAACAGAACACAATGACTGGAAACAAGAGCTCCTAGGCCTTATATACTAGGGAAGAGAGGCTAAGAGAGGCTCAAGAGAGGCTAAGGACTGGTTCCTAGTGCCTCTCTCTCTCTCTCTCTCTCTCTCTCTCTCCTCTCTCTCTCTCTCTCTCTCTCTCTCTCTCTCTCTCTCTCTCTCTCTCTAGGTATTGTTCCAATTGTTCTTTCCCGTTGTCGGTGTCCGACTTGGTATTCTCCCACCCTGATGTTGCGCTGCTGCCTTCTGCGCCGCTTCTGCACCATCCACCTTCTTCCTTCGTACCCCATGGGCCTGTTCCGCTTCCCCACCCGCCAACGTTCCTCCTGGCTTCCTCCTCGGCCTCCTCCGCTAACGGCGTCGCGATTCCTATTTTTCGAGTCGTTGGAGTTGCTCAGAGGTGTGAGTTCGCTATGACCAGGGGTGCATGGCGTGGAAGGTCTCCCAATCATAGAGCAAGGGACGGCCTTTGTTGTCAAACGCGCCTGGGCCGAGGTAACGAGTTACTCGCTCCAAGCGATCCCGAACCGTGGGATCATGTCGTGAGGTTCGCGGTTGGTGGAGTGTGAGAGCTGCCACTAGTTATGAGTCTCGCATGCCGTGGGGGTGACACGTTTGCTACTCTGCTTCGTCAACAATGCCTACGGTTTTGATTGGAGCACTCTTGACAGGTTCGTCAACCTTCTCTTTCCCCTTCTTGTCAGCCCCTTCCTTCCCTTTCTTCCTTTTCTCTTCTTGTCTATCGGGACCATATGATGCTTGACCCATGGTCGTCCGCCAGGATGCTCTTTTAGGTAGCGAGGCACGAGGTCAATGATGTCATCGGAGTCGCCGCAGCAGTCAGGGATGTCAAAGTCCAAGACATGCGGTGCAGATTCTGGCTCGTCGTTCCAGTCTTCACCTCTCCAGTGGAGGGGAATGGAGCGCGTATCCAGATCCGTGCTCATTTTGACTCCGCTGTGATTAGCTGCGAGGCCGACAACATATTGAATTTGAGGTCTTGACGATGAGCATGTCGTTGAGAGTAATTTGTATGTTACTCTCATGTGCCTTCAGGACGACGATGCGACAGGATTTGGCTTCCAGTTCTGGTTGGCCACGGTGACGACGGTGGGTTGTGGGAGTGGTCGCGCATTCGAGAGGAAAAGGCGCAACCCCACCATGTGTTGTTTTGTGCAGCAGGGGCTAAGTTGGGAGTCGTGCGGAAATAAATACTTTTGTCGGAGTCGCTTGTTGGTCGTGGGTAGCTATCTTCAAAGAAGTAGAACATTTGCGCGTTTTGAAGGAGCAGTTCTAGCTTGTAATTCGACGGGTAGAAGTCACGTCCGTTGAATACGATGCTGGTCCGCATTTTAGAGATGACGAGAAACTTGTTTTTAGCAGTCAAAGTTGCTTCATCACTTGTCGTCAGTTGGTTGAAATGGTGAATTTGCTTCATGAGCAAAGATTGTTGGTGACTGATCCAAAAGGGACATTAGTTCTGGGTGCACTATTGGCATGCATGTAGAGACTGGGTGGAAGGAATCGAGATGGAAGGCGTACATTTTCCTGAAAAATGTTTGGAGTCTCAACTATGGGCGGTGAGTCTACATTTGCAGATCAATCAACGTAAGCAACAGCGCATAACTTGCTGCTACCTCGTGAGGAGATCCAATCCAAAAAGTTTGGGAGGATCACCCGTTTCCATTGATGGTGTAACAAGGACAATAGGAGGAGATGCAATCGCAATTATTTCTGACGGCGCCTAAGAAATATGGGGTCGCAGTAACAAAGATGATGCGGCAATATAAGTACAAAAAAAACATAGACGATCTACGAACGGTGGCACGGATACATGTTGTCCAAGTTGTTGAAGGGCAAGAAACGACTACCAATGCTGCGAGTTCCCTCATCCTGGTTGTATGCGTGCTGCTGCAGCATCCCAGCCACTAGACCACTGGGATAAAAGGGCTTGTTAAGTAGCGGGTCTGTGCCCCATAACCCCCCAGGCTAGCAAACATGTATGTTTCACTATGATCAAACAGGCATCTCCAGTGCAGGTCTTCTGACAGCTCCGATTGTGAGGAAGGGGAACCTACACTTCTCAAAGGACTCGCCATCGTTGGCAATACCGGCAACACGTTGCATTGCAAAAGATGGCAGCGGTCGACATCACGCCCCACGACATAGGGGAATGGTATGAAAAGAAAAAGAAAAGAAATTAATTGCATTATTTTGGAATGGAAATATGAAATTAGAGTGTACGAGATTATTAATCTCGCCATGTAATTCAGTGAGTCGATATACTGTAATAGCAAGTCGTATATGT